ATCACTATGTCCGTCAGTCAGTCTGTCAGTCAGTCAGTCAGTCAGTCACCTTTGAGTTACCTATATATGTATATTTAGATAACAACAACTACCAATACCGAATACAGAATTAAATTCAATACAATTATAAAGAAACTAGGTTTCACATTTAAATTATATTCCTATGAATGTTGCACACAGCATTTACATTATGGATACTTATGAGATAGGAGCTTGAACAGGTTAAAATAAATGTCAGTCGCTACATTAATTTAATGACTAATTTAATTGATTTTTTAATTAATATGAATTTTCAAAAAATATATCCAAATTGGTGGCATTAATCGTTATACATAATCTGCACACATTCAAAACGTAGGTACTTTATGTAAAGAGATGAAGACGAAGAGAAGGGTCTATACAGATTCGAACGACACACTAACATAAAAATAAACATAAAAACAATACCTACCTATAAACGAGTAAATGTCAGACGAAAAGTCTACAAGTTCGGTCACAAACTCACAGTTAAAACGTAAGTAAGTGAAACTGTTACTGCAATAAATACCTTTAAAAGACTTTGCAAAAATAGCTTCGTCTGGGCATCTGATCATTTTAAATCAGAAAGTTTTGTCAAAACCTTTATGATTTTTTATGGTTTGAAATTCTTCTGATCATTTTAAAAATATTTATAGTGTAGGTACCTAAACAAGCTTACAATAAGTACTTTTATAAAGTTAACCTGTTACTGCAGTCGATTTTTCTCTTAAATAGGTGAGTAATATAAGTGAATTGGATCACAGTTAATTCTGGGTCCAGCATACAAGTGGACCATACAACAAGTGTAAAAAGCTCTATCTGCATGGTAGTAAAGAATCCATTATCCATTTTGTTTTTTGTTTTCACTACAATTAGTAGGAAAGAACATGGGAACATAATGACCGACTGATTACTGACGCATTTCTCAGGGCTTAACTGACAGGGCTTAAAAGCTTCTTTTGTCCGCTACATCGGCTGTTGAACTTTTGAAAGTTTAAGGATATTATCAATTAAAGTTGATGAAATTACAAATCGTCGATGTAATTAGTGGCTCGTCGATGAGCCGATACAGCGAACAGGGAAATGCTTTTAGAAACAAAGACGAGCTCGATTTTGACGTCATTACAAAAAAAGTCCGCCCGCAGGACGAGATCTCGCGTGACGTCACACGTGTCGCGTGCGCATAAAAGCGCGCTTCGCCCGAGAAGGACGGTCACACTGCTGAAAATATCCTAGTACTCATAGTGTCCTGGTAGTTCGTAGGAAAAACTTAAAAATGTTAAGGTGTTTGTGTTTTTTCGCGGCTGTGTTCAGTGTGAGATCTGCTTCGGGTGTGTATTCATTTATCATTAAAAATCTATGACATATTGTCATATTTTTGCAGAATGGGTGAAAATCATTAACTTAAAAATATGTTTACATATTTTATGTATAGTCATAAAAAGTAGGCAACTACTTAGTGGCATGAAAAACTGGAGGTTTTCTTGATTATCCATTTTGTGTGTATTTCCTCTGAAGCTAAATAATGTTGTATGTAGATGCATTTGCTTTAAAAAAAACGAGTAAAAGAAGTGTAAACAATTTTCAAATCGCGCAATTATTATTGTAGCGCAATCAGTTTTTGAAATTACTGCGAGACACCGAAGAATTTATGCGAACAATTCAAAAATGAAAAATGATTAAGCTCACCAATTGAGAATAAATTGCCAACGCGATTTTCTATCCAATAAGACTAAACTAAACTGTGCGAATATACAAAAACTTAAATAACGAAGAAGTAGATCACAAATGTGGAGCTTAATAAAGAGTACATCTATAACTCGCTGCAAGTCGTCTGCCACCAATCACATTAAAAAAAAATTAAAAGAAGTAAATCTGCAAATTGCTCTAAGATTAATGGTTAAATAGCCTAGAGTGATCATTACGAGAAACAAGCAAAGCCTCGACCTTGATGACGCAGTTTCCAAAGTCTAGTTTTAATTAATAGTTTGCGTATTCAACAAAGCTCACAATTTTAAAGTGCGATCGAGTCAGACCGTTCGAAACAGGCCAACCGGGAAATCATTGAGGGAACATAGGCCATGCTCAGCAGCCGGCGTCCCATAGCTGAATTGATGAAAATGATGACAGAATAATTGAGTAAATTAACATTTTTTCACAGCCCCATTCATCACACCATGCAAGCAAGGTGATGCAGCATGCCTCAAATCGTCGGCCCAGGCCGCCTTGCCGATCATCGCGCCAGGCATCCCAGAGCTGGGCATCAAGCCCCTGGACCCCCTGAGGCTGGACCTCGTCAAGGGGGACCAGGGAGGGCTCCAGCTGTCGTTCAGAGACACAGTCCTCACCGGCATGAAGGGATGCACGGTTGAGAATGTCAAGTGAGTATTGAATCAATTGTGCTTTGCGAGTTTATTTAATAACCACCTAACTTAGTTAGCTCATATTTTTTCAGTCTGCCACGGAAAGTCTTTATATAAATTAAAAGACTGTAATTGTTAGACAATAATCTGTAAAACAACTCTTCAAATTAGCATGTTGAAAATATAGCTGCAACCGGATCAATTAAAAAGTAAAATAATAATGACCACCAGTTGAATTTTTAGTCAATTTCAGTAGTGTATGGACACCTCGTGGTAGAGCGTTAATTTTTATGGAAAAGTCAAACGATATCATAAAATTTTATGGTAGTTTAATATTTGCTATGAATAACATCATACGATAGTGTAAGTACTAAGTAGGTTTTCCTTGACCATCAAATGGAGCGAAATAATAAGTCATTTTATCACCTTAACATCTATATAGGTAGTAACTTAAAGTTACAAATAACCCGTTTTGGCCTTAAGAATCTTCGTTGCTAAGTTAAAATAATTAATGGTTTGAACTACTAAAAACTTCAAGGTCGTAGCTTTTGGACCAAGGATCAAAGATTTCATGACAAAAAAAGAAAAACTCCTACCTTAGTATTTTGTTTCAAAGCGGAAAATTGGTAGGTACAAGTAGTACTTAGCTAGGTATTACCACGTATTAACTTACGCATGATCGTTAAAATAGAATTGCCTTGCAATTAGCTAAAAACGAATGAAAAACTAGACAGGGCATCGTATTATTATGTTCTACGAATTCCTTAGCGAAAATAGCGCTTTAGCAGAAAAGTGTACCTACCTAATTGTGTGAAAAATCACAGATTAACCTTTAGACGTCTGGTTTCTTCCGTCGTTTGCATTCGATCATCATGTTGACAGTTCATTACACTGAAGATTAAAAGGTAAACATGATGGACGGCAAGTCAGTGAAGTCCGGGCGATTCATTTGACGACGAACAACAATAATTTACTTCCTTCGTATAATCGTATTGTTTCTAGCTTAATGTTTTTCCTCATTGCATATGGTTTGGTTTAGACTAAGTCAGAAGTATGTAGGTAATTCGTTCTCAAAAGATTACCCATTTTACGAATAAGATCATGTTTACAACATAATGAAAATTATACGATGCAATGCAGGCATTTTAGGCAAAGGTTGTCTGTTTGTTTTTATCATTTCGTAGGTAAAAGACCGGTGCTAATCTAGATTTTCTATTTCAGACATGACCTAACCAAGGGCAAATCCTTGGTGGTGATTAAGTGCTCGGTGAACCTCCAGGGCAACTACAAATTGGGAGGGCAACTTCTGATCCTACCCATCCAGGGTGAAGGGAAATACACAATCAACATTCGTAAGTAATTTGTAAAACTAAACTTTCGGTGCTCAGTGAATCAGTTGTAATCTTCTTCAAATGTTACACGTGCTATTAGAAACAATCAAGGAGCTGTCAAAGTTGCCTTATATCGTGCACAAAAAACGGCTTTTCACGTGGGTTCTACTCGTAAAAATCTTAAGAACAACGTCCTAACTTAGGCAATTTGGTGGCAACTAACTGATACTTTTTCTCTCAGCAACGTGTAAGTATTTCCACTGACTGTGGTGAGTTACATTTACGATCCTAGCAATTAATAATAAAGATCAATTTAACGTCAGTATGTAAACAGAAGGTTTCCCCATAGGCAGTTAATTTCGAAATAAGACAAAGATCGGAGTGTTGTCGCCTCTCAAGGTCGACAGGTCTTGAGAACGACTGTAAACTTTCTAAATAAGTATGAAATACAACTGTCAACTGCTAGTTATGTTTTCGCAAAAATGTAAACAATGTGATTTCTGTAACCAACATTCGTTTTTAGTTACTATAAATTAAGAAGCAGAGATACTCCAAACTCTATTGAGACCAGAGTTTTAAAAACTTAACGATAAAAATTGAGACATAACGGGATTTGGAGCCCCATCTAACTCCGGTTATCCCTAGCTATGATAAGTGTGTTGTATTCTGTACTTGGACGAATCTGTACCATATTCGTTACAGCGACTATCCACTTAAATCATGTGATTTACTACATTCGACTTCTACCCTACGTATGGCTACCCTCGATGCACAAACTATTAAAAATTAAATGAACATTACTCACTTTAATATTATGTACAACCTTGTACAATAATTAGTTAGTTACCATAATAAAAATGATGTTATGATGACACCTGGCTTGAAGTAATAAAAAATGAAATCAAGGAAGTTTTCAACAATAGACAATATACAAGATGAACAGCTAAGTAATAATGATTGCAATGATAACAAAATTATTTACTCCGTTTACCTTGTGTGGTGGAATTTATGTAGTGAAATGAATAAAATATTTAAATCTACTGTGTAGTCCTATTGACTAATATTTTGCTCATTACATTGACTTAGGCGTTACTGTTGGGTAGGTACCTGCTAACCTCCATTATGTAGGTATGTACGAATAGCGTCAATAGCCCAACGCGTGTCGGTTTGGGCACAAAATATTTTTTGTGGTTTGGGCCTGACTGAATCGAGATCCAAGGAACGCGGTTTCGAACCCCAAAAAGATTTCTAGAGTCCGTCGAGTCATAACATTGTGTTTTATTTTCAGAGGACATAGTGATAAAGACGTACAGCGACATCACGACAGTCGAGGGCGCGGACGGCAAGCCGCACTGGCACATCACGGACTGGCGCAACAGCTACCAGGTCAAGACCGGCACGCAGTTCCAGTTTGATAACCTCTTTAACGGCAACAAAGTTCTTGGTAAGGAAGTGTTGTACTTACATTCTTCGATATGATGTTGCGATCTTGCATTTTTTCTATGTCCAAGTCTCATCCCAACAACAGTCACCAGTTTGTTGTTAATGTTGTTATAAATAATAAACTTTAAAACTCCACAAACTTATCTCGAGATAAAAATGTCTCACTTCACGTAGATGTCGATTAACTTAGAAATGTGACGACAACTACCCTACAAATTATTTATTAATCGTTTCTTTTTAAATTGTTACTTTTTTCTGCTTGTTTACTGGAATAGGCTAAGGTCAAAGACCATACTGCCTAGATGCAACAAACTGTAAACGCGGAGCGGTTTAAATTATGAATATTATTCCAGCCGTCCCCGTCCATGACTTCGTGAACAACAACTGGAGGGAGGTAATGCAAGAGATTGCGGGGCCCATCGTGCGCGCCATAGTGGCCGCGGTCGTGGATGATGTCGAGGCGCTCTATAAGGCCGTACCAGCCGAAGAACTATTTATTGCGTAAATTGGCTTGTTAGACATTGTATTAATTTAGAACAAAGTATAATAATTAAATCTGTTTTTGTTATAACTGTTTTTTTTCCTTTTTATAAATATTGTTGTGATGAACGTGAAATGAAACGTAAATGTCTTTGCGCGTTTTTGACAGCCAAAACGTCAATCTCATGTGTTTTGTTTGGTTTTGGATTTTTGAGGTTAGGAAAGATTTGTACAACAAAAAAGCGTGTTTCTCGTTAATATTGTGAAGTATTCATTTATGGACTTATCGGACTTATAATGTTGTGTCCTGAAGTATACAACTTTCCATCTCCAAAAGTGTACACATCCAGCTTGGAAAGTCAGAACTTGGATTTAGTTACAAAAACTTTAAAAATGAATAGTTTCTATGAAAGTGTTGTGATAACTTGCCCAGACGAAGTCAATACACCGTCATTAATCCAAGAAACCCTTTTAGAAGATAGTGATTATTACAAAATTTCCGGTATCTCACTTACTGAATTTTTAGACCAAACTTTTATAGAAAATTTTGTCAAAAAAGGCCACTGTTATTGCCTCTCGTCTGAAAGAAATTGTTTAACACAGAATTGTGCAGCAATTACTCCTGATGGCATGCTGACACTTCATATCCTTGAATTTGTTTTTCAAACTCTTGGTTTAGAAGGCACTAAACGACCACACAATTACTATGAAGTAAAAATAGACTTGAAATCTGTAAGACATGTAGAAAAACTACGAAATGGTTTAAGTAAACTCGAGTTATTTGATTTTATCGTAACTTGGGAGCCAGATTCTGAAGAGATTTGCCCATCTTCAATAGCCAAATTCTTCCACGATAGAGGAATGAGAGTATCACAGTGTCCGTTAAAAGTGACAAAAGTAAACCCAACGATCAAAGAAATCCCCTCTCTAAAAGATGTTGAAGTGGATGAAATGGTTGAGTGGGTTGGAATGTTGGCTCACAATGCTGATATGGACCAGGAAGAAACTTACATAAGTACTTATGGTCCACCTGAAAGTGAATATGCCATAAAGTCCACCAGAATATCTGTTCTCATTGTGAAGGGGCTCCTAACACCTACTGTCTTATTAAATCTCTGCAAGAATCTATCGGAATATACAAATTCAAGGGAATTAGATGATTACTGGACTAGTGTAAGCATTCAAAGCTTCCAAGAGAGCTTATGGCAATGGAACCCAAGCAGCCCCAGAATGTTTCAGTCTCACGACTCTTCGTGTAACATTTTCTTTACAAAATCTGGACATAAAATATATTCTGTAGGACAATTAAACTATTCATAGTACTTTTTATGTTTTATTTACTCTTGATATTGCTGATTTATAGTAACTCTACTTAGGTTTTTACTTTATGGATAGATTATAAACTTTTAAGCTAAAAAAATAAACATGTAAAAATATTTTGATAAATCAAGCTCATATAAATTGATAATATCTTGTCTGTTTCAACAGTCAACACACAATAGCAATTAGTATACTTTGTCAGTTCATCAAATGGTTTGATTTTCAAGTTCTATTTTCACATTCTAGATTATGCCTCACCCTGTTTTTTATCTTACAACACATCCCCTTCCCAAAATAACAAAAACAAAATAAAATAAAAAAGATTTTATTTATAACCACTTATGTTCGCCTGCACCATAAGAAAAATAACAAAAAATGCAAACCACTTCTTTCGGAAATGCAAGGAATGCTATGGGCACAGAACTTTAAAACCTTACATACTATATTCCTTAAATCAACCATAAATCCATAGTGGTTAAAAGATTTAACAATACTTAAAATAACAAGGATAGAATATGAAGAATCGTAAACCACTGGGATACATCTTAGTATTGAAAGTCGAATTTGATATCTACTTAATAAATAAATGCTATTCTTAAAATATATTCCTTTATCATCACAAAATTATGCAGTCAAATTATTATTTGTTCTTTTATCAGCCTTTCTTTCAATATTTTTTTGCGTCGCATCCTTCACCATTCCAAATGTAATGAGATGTTACCCATCAGTAAGATCAGTTTGGTCGGTATACAATGAAGTATTCTATTTCAATGCATTGGTAACATAACTGACCAGACTACAAGTCTACGGTTAAGGTCTTAGGCTTTGCGTTATCAAATTCGACTGCCAACACCGCGGGTAGTTGCTTAGATCTTGGCGAGGCCGATGACCCCGCAGGCGATGCGCGCGCCCGCGTTGCCGGTAGTCTTGCTGAGCTCGTGGCCCCCTACCCCCAAGTCATCAGGGTCCGCGTGCACCACAAGGGTACGCCCGATGATGCTGTTGGGGCCCACGAGGGAGATTTGCGAGTCCTGGATGCAGACCTGAAAAGAATACAGGTTAAATAGAGGGCTTTCAAGTTTCAATGCTACCATATTGTGCTTAAGACAGCACCATTGTCAGTGTAGCCTCCTTAATACACTCGTCACAAATAATACTGTCGTACTCTTCAGTAGGAGGTCTATTAGTCTGGGCAAATGACTCATGTAATAAAACTCACCAGAATCTTCAGTTTTTGATTATAATAATTACACTGTTCACATTACAAGTGTTAATTTTCAAAAGAAACCGAATTAGACAAGATCAGGACTTTGATCAATAAATTAACACCTATTACAAAGTCGCAAAAAGCATCTGGATGTGAGTAGCGAAGATAAGTTAAGTTGTTGTGAAATTTTTTGCCTAGCAGTGGATTGTTTGTACAGATGATGATGATCGCATTTATCTCTTGGATGCGGGTAGCGCAAGACAAGTTGTAGAAATCATGTGGCCAGTAGTGGACGTCTTCTGTATGAAATGCTGATGACAAACGCAACGCACCTTAGCAACGCCGCCGTCAGAAGTAGCCACGGTGTTGCCAAGGTCGTCTACATGACGCGCCGTGCAAGTTGCTACATGTCCTTTATCTAGCAGTGAACAATGGACATCCTTTTGCAGAAATGATGGTGATGATGACGACAAGCGCAACGCACCTTAGTGACGCCGCCGACGTGGCGCACGGAGGCATCGGGCGCGCCGTGCTCGATAAGTTACGGGACTATTCCCACCTCTGGTTCCCACCACTGCAACTCCTGTGTAGCCAGGATCTACAGCTTGACCGCCACAAAAACCCAACCAATGAAGGTCAAGTTTGTCCCGGGGGAAAGTTAAACTGTCATTGGACCCGCAACGAAATTAATCAGAAGAACATAGGAGGAGTTCGAAATTAAGGTGCTCGATAAGTTGTGGAAAATTGGAAATCCTTTGACAAGCAGTGAACGTCCTCTGTCTGAAATGCTGATGACAAACGCAACGCACCTTAGTGACGCCACTGTCAGAACTATCCACGATGTTGCCAAGGTCGCCTACATGGCGCACGGCGGCATCGGGCTCGCCGTGATCGATTTCGATATGTTGTTATGGAAATCCTTTGACTAAAGCCTGGTCCGTGAGCACGTAGAATTTTGTCCACTGACCCCAAGCTACCCATCCATAATTACGCGCGAGCGATAACTCGCGCGGAATTATATTGCTGTCGCGACTGTGCGACGGGCGCCCGCAGTGAGTGTGCGAGCGCGACAGCAACTTAATTACGCGCGAGCTATAAGGATGGGTAACTTGGGGTTATTGACAAAATTCTACGTGCTCACGGACCAGGCTTTAGCAGTTAACACACCCTGTCTGAAATGACACGCAACGCACCTTAGTGACGCCGCCGTCGGCCGTGGCCACGATGTTGCCAAGGTCGCCTACGTGGCGCACGGCGGCGTCGGGCGCGCCGTGCTCCTGCTTGGCGGGGTTGAAGTGCGCGCCGGCCGACGTGCAGCCGTTGGTGTTGTCGCCGAACTCGTGCACGTGGAAGCCGTGTTTGCCCTGAAGTTATTTTTGGTTAGTTTAATCTTCTTGTCGTGTCGACAATAACCTTACAGTGTCAGCCCAAAACTGTGCCACATGTGGAATGAGGGCTATCGTTTTAGCGCTCACCAGTTAGCGCCACTGTAGAGTAAGGTCCTGTCACTTGCTAGTAGCGAAGACAGTGGCACCAACTGGTGAGCGCTAAAGTGGTAGGAGGACTATCGCATTTGCACTCATCAAGATGGCGCCACTGTAGAGTAAGGTCTTGTCAATCGCCAGGGGTGCCAACTGTTAAGTATAAAAACGATAGCCCTCATTGTCAGTAGCATTCATTAAGTCTTCCTGTGTGCAGTTAATTGGGCATGCAAAGCACGACATCATGAGCTTCATCGAAGAATTACTCTTCGATATGGGTTTCAATCGTTTGAATTTGTTCTTCAAATAAATAGTGGTGAGATTCAAATAATACTCATGACTTGATGAAGATTTGAGGCGTTTTTAAGATAAATTAGTAAGACTATACTTTTAGGCAATTCAAATAAGCTGACCCTAATGTTTTGTCTAAAGAATTTGTAAATTACTAACCAAAAGTATAAAAATCTCAGTAGGTATGATGTACACACATTGCAATCAAAGCAGTTATAAAAACACGGTTGGTAGGTATAATAACAGTATGAAATAGGTCTTTATCATTACTCACAAGGTCACGAAAATGGCGTAACTTTAGCGCTGTCAACAAGTATGTAGGTACATTACAAATTATAATGTCCACTGGTACAGGTCACTTTGTGAATGCATAATAAAAATAATAAATGATTGTACATTTTCTGATTGCATTATTTTCTTTTAATTTAAATAGAACTTCAGTCAATTTAACTAAACCGATAGCTTATCTAAAAGATAATGTTAACACTTGAACATAGACCAAGTCCACTGGAGTTATCTCTATGATAAAAGTGTTAATTTATTTTCGGTCTGTTAATTACTTTTTGCATCTCTTAAATTGTTTCAAGTTACTGAGAAATTACTACATGTTTCATTTAGTTTAATCTACAATTTTAATTAGAATGACTGTTTGAAATTGTATCCATAATTCACCATTTGTGCCTTCAGATTTTAGAATACCATGATACAATGGCATGGCAGTCAAAAGATGTTTGTTTGTAAATTATCAACTTCATGAGAACCAGGTCTTAATCCTAAAAAATATTTACCTTGGACAAGCCTGAGACTTCTCCGGAAACTACTACAGGGCCCTTGTCATCCTGAAAAGGTCCAAAACAAAAATTTTAATACAAGTACCAACAACAAAAATCAATTGATATCATAGTTATACTGGCATTCTTATTGGAATTATCATAATTGAGTTTTTAAGGAAACTGTATCACACAGAAAACAACTATGCAGTATTACCTTAGTGTTTTATTCTGTTGTATTACTTCTTTTGCTGTTGCAAGTACCCTATAATAACATGTTTTATCATAAAGGAGGTAGGTAGGATACAGGCTATAAAGCATAAAAATAAAGTACTTGACGACGAGTTTAAATAACAGCTACTTTTAGAGAACCGGTTCGAACGTTATCAGGCAGAAGCTAGGTAGGAAGTTCAACTGTATTTATTCGTTTGAAATTACGTAATAAATGGTTGTTAATACTGCGTCTTATAGGTCGAAATAGGTGGACTATCATATTTATTCACCTTCGAAAGTAATGTAGGTTAATAAATGCTAGGAGGATTACTAACTTGCTGGTCGAAAAAAACTGTGCCTGAGACATCTCCTTTGAGTACGCACACTGCTTTGGCCGGCATCTTGGAACTGCAATATCACAAATTGAGTAAAGAATTTATACTGAAACAATGGTACTATTGATTGTTTAGAGTAGAAGAAAATTGCATCATGGAATGTTAAGCGACAAATTACAAATAACGCCGGACTTACCGATAAAATGGATTTACACAAAAAAAATCAACAACGATGACAATCGGAAAATAAATTAATGACCAAGATCTGTGACCAAGACTGAGCCCCGATTACGGTAACTTTTATAACGTCTACAATCCAGACGCGTTTCTGATTCTGCGATACGATTGGTCAAAACAGCTGACGTACGCTGTTGAACGACCAATCGTATCGCAGAATCGAGAAGCGTGTCTGGATTGTTGACGTTAAAAATTACCGTAATCGGGGCTCTGAATGAAATGATGAATGAGAATAATGACTGACACATTTTGAATGAACGGAATGAACCATGAAGCTAAAGATAAAACCGGCCAAGTGCGAGTCGGGCTCGCGCACAAAGGGTTCCGTAGCAGCAAATATAATAAACTTATTATGTCAATTTATACACCTGGTGAATGGAGCCTAAACTCTCCCGATATTTTGCCTTGTACTTTTATGTATGAATATTAATTTTATATATGTATTTATAAATATTCCGAGCTAAAGAGGTGGCAAAAGCAATGGCAAACAAACCACAATCAATAGTATTCGGTTGTCGCTGAACACTTGGAAACTGAATACATGACTCCGATAGATACGGAAACAAGGCTTTTACATATATTTTTTGCGATTTTCCTAGAACACCAACAAGACTATCGTACACACGCAGTATTCCATTAATGTAATAAATACAACTCCAGTGCCCCACTAATCCCACGTCACCGTCATAAATTACTTGAAGGTGCGTCTCATTTTTAGGTACAGGTTCAATCAGTTCAGGGTGTTGAAATAATTCTAGCTCACGCGGTCTAAATGATGTGCACCGAAGTAACTTTTCATGAAATGCGCGAACCACATCATCTTCGATATAGTTATTATAATTCAGAATGTAGCATGTGATTACAATAAAAAAATGGCGATATTGAGGTGTCCCAATAGTGGTGACAATTATTTTTATATAATTTTAAAATCGTTTTCGTCATTACCATTAACATCATTACCATATCATTTAGGCTTATGGTGATGACACTTTGTATATGGTAATGATGACTATGAATGGTTTCCTAAAAGAACAATGTAACAAAACGTCCCCAGAACTGTAGCACTTTAATACCTACCTTAAAATACTATAATTTTATTATATGACAGCTCAAGTGTGACATGCGTGTCTCAGAAAAAAGTTATATCTAAAATAAAAATCCATAAGCAACCTTGAAAAAATACATACAAAATCACTTTTGACCAACTTCAATGGGTATCACGACAGCTTAACCCCGGGACAATTCGACTCCTGTGACAACTCGACCCCTGCGACAACTTGATTTTTTTCAACACTCAACACTTTTGACTTACTTCAAATGGTTTCACGACTGCTGGACAGTGGCGGCGTAGCATGGGTTGGCACCCGGGGCATAGCACAGCACAGCACCCCCCGTCATAAGTCCTTAATGTAAGTAAGTTGGGTATACATATAGCGGGGAGGTAAGACACCCCAAAATGGTCCTCCCTTACGCCGCTGGTGGCTGGACCCTACGACTGCTTAAACCACTCGAACCCTCCGACAACTTATACCTGTGACCCTGTGACAAGTCGAACACTGCGACACNTGCTGTCGCGACTGTGCGACGGGCGCCCGCAGTGAGTGTGCGAGCGCGACAGCAACAGAATTACGCGCGAGGCGCGAGCGATAAGGATGGGTAGCTTAGCTTGGGTTCATTGGACAAAATTCTACGTGCTCACGGACCAGGCTTTAGTTAAANGCTACGGAACCCTAAAAATGGAGGCCACACTTGGAACAAAAACTTGAGTCAAATACATACCTACTTATCTCTATCTCGCTCTCTGTGGGCCGACCTCTCTTTTTAGTGTGGACTGTAGTATTGCTATCTCCTTATTTAAATCTCCTAGTAAATTCTTCGAAATAGCCAATTCACTAACCAAATCAGAAGTTAAACAAATAAATAATTAAATATTTGAACTACGATTACCTAAATCCTGGTCCGTGAGCACGTAGAATTTTGTCCAATGAACCCAAGCTACCCATCCTTATCGCTCGCGCGTAATTATATTGCTGTCGCGACTGTGCGAGCGCCCGCAGTGAGTGTGCGAGCGCGACAGCAACAGAATTACGCGCGAGGCGCGAGCGATAAGGATGGGTAGCTTGGGTTCATTGGACAAAATTCTACGTGCTCACGGACCAGAGGCACCAGAGCCCCGATTACGGTAACTTTTAACGTCTACAATCCAGACACACTTCTCGATTCTGCGATACGATTGGTCGTTCAACAGCGTACGTCAGCTGTTTTGACCAATCGTATCGCAGAATCAGAAGCGCGTCTGGATTGTTTCAATCACGATTGAATTGAAACACTGAAGAGTGAATTGAAACACGCTTCAGTGTTTCAATTCACTAGCTACGCAAATAACAACCCTAAATCAAGCTATCGGAAGGAACATAGTGGCCTAGCGAGCCGGAGCGTAAGCGGTCGGACCCGAGCGATAAGAGAACAAAAGGCGACCCTTTTTTTGCATAAACTAGCATTGAAGATTGAAAGTTTTGGTCGTTCAACAGCGTACGTCAGCTGTTTTGACCAATCGTATCGCAGAATCAGAAGCGCGTCTGGGTTGGAAACTACTGAAAATGTTCCAAAATACTGAAATGTCCCAGGGTCGGACTGGGCCGGAAGGGCCCGGGTGGCTGATAGCAATCCCGAGGCCCGAGACTAGATCATGGTGATGGGATACTATCGAAAAATACTGAGATACACAAATTGAGATAAACAAACTGTAAAAAATTTATTACAATACTAAAATAAAGTAAAATAATAAGTAGGTATTTACTAATAACAAATAATAATATAAAGCTAGCCAATCAACATTTTTTTTAAAACAGGAGAACTTTCAGCTAAGCTGTTAATGACTCGATCGTAAAAGCTGCTGTTTTCGTAATCCTTGATAAGATCCGATTCTGTATTTAATACAGTGTGAGTTACGATAAAGTGCACATATGAAATTAGGTGAAACTAGATCTATTTTTATCGACAAAAAACAGGTCAAAATTTTTTTGAGATTTTTTTTTTTTGACTTATGACGGGGGGTGCTGTGCTGTGCTATGCCCCGGGTGCCAACCCATGCTACGCCGCCACTGTCCAGCAGTCGTGAAACCATTTGAAGTAAGTTAAAAGTGTTGAGTTTTGAAAAAAATCAAGTTGTCACAGGGTTTGAGTTGTAGCAGGGGTCGAATTGTCCCTGGGTCAAGCTGTCGTGCCCTTTGAAGTTGGTCAAAAGTGATTTAGTATGTATTTTTTCAGGGTTGCTTATGAATTTTTATTTTTGATATAACTTTTCTGAGACATGTCACACTTGAGCTGTCATAATTATAATAAAATTATAGTATTCCATTCAATTTATTCATTTAAAGATAACAATGATCCACATGGTTAGTAAATGGGTGCCTTATACAACTACACTCGCGAGCAAAAGTATGGAATCACTTACATGAAGTTGTTTCCACGCGATCTTGTGTACTAACGAATTTGTTAGTAACAAAAAAAGTAGCACCATTTTAAAGATTAAACTTTTAACTTTAAATTGATATCAAATTCATTTTAATCACACCGGTATTTAAAAAGATATCCCGGCTGATGTGAAGAAGTAAGAAAAAAGGCATGTACCAACTGTTTGATACGTCGCGAGTTGCGGCCTATTTACCCAATATAAAAGCACGTGTTTTCTGATTTTTGCGTTCACACGTTGATCCATACACATCTCGGCTTCTTTTGACACTTTACCTGGGATTCTACACCTACAGAAGCAGCACAAATCGTTGCACTGTTGCAAGAAGGGCTCAGCCAGCGGGCTGTCGCACTTCAGCTCCACATAAGCCAGTCCTGGGTTTCGAAAGTTTTAAGACGCTTTTGAGAGACTGGTGGCTTTATCCCGAGACCAAGTTCTGAACAGCGCCGGTGCACATCGCAGAGGGATGAGTTTTTTATTAGTTTACGAAAAGACGTTTTTTTATTCATTTCTTGTATGTTGACTATTGTGTAAGTCTAAGTAAGAGTAGCTTGGCATATTTTTCAATCAAAATCCTCATTGGTGTAAATATATATTTTTTCTGATTCTGAATAATATTAGGAACGTAAAAAAATTTTAACTAATGTCCGTATTGTTCCAAATTCAATAAATTCATTAAATTATTGAATACATTTACTTTTATTTCCAACCCATTCTTTAATAGGTACGTGCTTAGCTAGGAAAATAACATAGATAAAATTGGTGTTTAGCTGAACAATTATATCTAAATTTTAGTTTTCAAGTTATTTTAATTTAATGTATTACTATAAAATTATATTTCGTCATCACCATTAACATAAGATCATTACCATTTTAATAAAATCATTACCATTGGGAAAACGTCATTACCATTTTGTGAAAAAATATTTGGACGCTTGTTACTTCTAAAATAACGATTGAATCTAAGGGCCTCACACTGATCTAAAAAGCTCATTGCTTAACCTTTCAGTTTAAGCTAGTTTGCACGCATTCCTGTAAAGTTTTTCAAAAAACGTAAAATAAATCTCGCGGAATCAAATCGGCGGATCCACCCTAAAATAAAATCACAAAATTGTCGGCCGTTTAGGTTTATGTTGGCGAATCAGGGAATTACAAATAATTACAATCCCAATACTTGAGGAATCAACATCCGATGTTGCCACATGGATTGTTGATGTTCATGGCGGTTGTTTACTATTTTGTTTACTATGCAGTTAATTTCGTTTTATAGATGACCCACGCTGAACTGTCCCACCAAACTCAATGACAGGGGGGCGCTACCATCGTTCAACTATATGGTTTCCACTTCCAACATGGCAAAAATCGGAAGCAGCGATCCGGTCACAGACATCTTTATATGTCTGTGGATCCGGTATAGTTCCAAAATACTGAACTGTCCTGTGCATGACATTGACAGTGGGGCGCCACCGTCAATACCGAATCGCTAGTTCCGATTTTTGCCATGTTGGAAACCATATAGTTGAACGATGGTAGCGCCCCCCTGTCATTGAGTTTGGCGGGACAGTTCAGCGTGGGTCATCTATATTGACGGTGGCGCCCCACTGTCAATGTCATGGATAGGACAGTTCAGTATTTTGGAACTATACACTGCGCGGCGCGGCGGCGCCTCGGCATCACAGATGAGACTCGGCATTACGACAAGTGGGTCTAGACAAAGTGCCAGTGTTGCCAACGAAGTATCAAGCTCCCCACCAGAATTGACCTCTAAAACCACCAGAAATCCACTAATAAAAATCGCACCATCGTAAAAATCGCTAAATTTTCCACTATTTTTTGTCTGGCAGATTTGTGGTCATTTTGAAAGAAAACAATATTGTAGATTTATCTTATTGTTATTAGGTAGGTACATTGAATTCAATAAATAAGTAAGTACATGATGCGTTTTGTTTTTGTGAATTATAAAATAATTAAAAACGATTTAAAATTTCCCTACTTTCGGGAAATCGCCTTCACTGTCTACACTCCCCAACAAAATTGACACTAATGACAAGATTTTTGCCTATCTCTAGACGAAGCGTTTGTATGAAGACTATCCATCTAGGTTTTATTATTATTAATCTAAGCCACCAACACAATGAGCGCGAACGAAAATTGCGACTTTAGGAAAGGGAACTCAGGGAATTTTTTAACCGACTTCAAAAAAGGAGGAGGTTATCTTAGGTCTCTTTACTCGCTAGCTCGAACAGTGTTGCCTGCACGATGAAATTAAACTCCAAAAACGATACGAGTGGACCATATAATCGTTGTTCCAATGTTTAAGAAAAAAAAGCCTTAATTCTTAAATTCCACTAGATAAATCCACTAGCCACTAAAACCCATATTTGTCCGCTAGTAGGTAAGTCAAAACCACCAGATTTAGTGGAAAATCCACTAAGTTGGCAACACTGTGACTTTTGGATCGAATCGAAAATCGAATCCGTCAAAACTCCATACAAAAAAGGCTTCTCGACCACTTTTCGACTGGTTTGCGATTAAAATGTGCATTTTGTCTAGACCCAAAGATATAGTTCCAAAGTCAAGTCAATACTTGTCAACTTTGTCAAGTCACAAGACTCACAAGTAATTTAGTTGAGTGGCGATAAGAGTTATTTAGTTTTAATTTAACTAGTAATAAAGAAGCAGACGCGAGACGTGTCTGGCACTAAAGTAGACTCGACCACTCGACTAAATTAATGAATTATTTTTTAATTCGACTAGTGCGAACTTCGCCTGATAAGCGAAACAATCCATAAATCTTCAATGTTTTTTCTGGCTGGTCACACTGGTTCAGTATCGATCGTGACTCAGCAGATTTGATTGTTGATGTTGTTGTCTCATCTGTGGTTGTTTTGCTGTTTTGCGTATAGAGAATTTTGATTCCATTCCAAGCACATCCAAGATTATCCTTAATTTTCAAAGTAATTAAATAAAACATTGTATATTAAACCAGCATTAATATTGAAATGGACACTGAATCAATAGCATCGACTTCCAAGGTGAGTTTGTGTTGCACTTGTTGCCTTAATTTTTTACAAACATTTACCGGCTGCCGGCTGCCTGTTTCATGAAACTAATGTAAAACATTATTTCATTACAGTTAACTGCCGCTGAGATTATCAAAAATGCCGCACATGAAGATAAAAAGGTAAGAAATATAGATTTCTTCAACCATTTTAAAATGTTAAATGCTTAGATTAATAATTAAGAATTTATAATTTTTATGAATTTTTTAAAGCCTTATTAATCTAAGGTTACCAGATCGTCGGTCCACCTAGTAGGAGGCCTGCCCACGCTACGTCTTCCAGCCCGTGGTCGCCACTCGAGAACTTTCCTGCCCCAACGGCATTGTGGAAAACCTTGGGGGAGGCCTTTGTCCAGCAGTGGACGTCATTTGGCTGAAACGAATCTAAGGTTAAATGTTAAATGTTGCATCTCGTTCAGGACTGCCCAAGATTTCAATCAACAAGACGGCTACCTAAGTAAACTCCGACAAACTTTACTTCGACTTTACGTTACTCCGACATTTCTGAATATCGACATGACTTTACTTCGACACTACACTACTCCGACAAAGGATATTCGCCTTTGTCTTAGTAGTGTAGTGTCGAAGTAAAGTCATGTCGATATTCAGTAGTGTCGGAGTAACGTAATGTCGAAGTAACGTTTGTCGGAGTTCAGTTTTTGAGCCCAACAAGACTTGGCCATAATATACTTTGCCAAATTTACAACATCGACCCATTCAATTTCCAACAAATTATAACCAAGCAAGATTCCATAACAACATTTACCACCCACATTGAAAACATAGCAACCTAAAATCTTTCAACAAAATTAAAATTCTAAATCGCGTAGGAGAGAGCAACGCGTAAACCGATAGCGCCGCGCTCTCTCTGAAATTCAAAATGCCCAAATTATAAAAAAAAACATTTTAAAATCAAAATTCATTGAAATATAGAAGCATAATTTAACTCTTTTTTTACAGGTATGTCCACTGTGTGGTACAGAGGTGAGACTTTACTTCATACACTTTAATGAAAAAGTCTTGATGTGTGGAACAGATGAATGTCCTTATCCATTTGGCGTTGAAGAGGTTGTTTTTGCCAAAGTAGACGAGGGCAGCGAATATAACGTACCAGTGCCCAGCGTCAAGCTATCCAAGAGATCCAGGCGATCCCGGCGATCTAAGGGATCCCCATCTGCCTCGAATTCCAGGGTGTCAACCACAGCCTGGTCTGATATAGAGAAGATGACCCGAGTCAATGAAGCTGAGGAGCAGCTGGCCAGCCAACAAGCTGAAGCCCGAGAGTTCTACACGCACAAAACAAAGAAGAGCCCTAAAGAAGTTGCTCCCAAAGATAAAACACAAGAAAAATTACTAAAGGAACTTCGCAAAGTTTACACCAAAGATATGGAGATGACCAAAGAGGATGATTTTATAAAAAATGAAAAATGGTTAAAGAATTTGATGGATTTGCAGGAGTCTTCAGGCCAGACTCTGGTTAAAGAGGAGGAGATGAAAATGTTACGAAGCAAGCATCCAGAAATCGGGTCAGGTGAATTAAAGTTTGACATTGATATGACTACTGCAACAAACAATATGTCTGTAATCAAAATAGCTATACAAAACAAAAAAGGTGAAAAGGAGGGAGAAAAAAAGGGAGAAAAGAAGGGAGAAGATAATGGAGAAAAGAAGGAAGAAGATAATGGAGAAAAGAAGGAAGAAGATAATGGAGAAAAGAAGGAAGAAGATAATGGAGAAAAGAAGGAAGAAGATAATGGAGAAAAGAAGGAAGAAGATAATGGAGAAAAGAAGGAAGTAAAATCGGGAGAAAAGAAGGAAGTAAAATCGGGAGAAAAGAAGGAAGTAAAGAAGGAAGTAAAGAAGGCGGAAAAGAAGGAAGAAATTAAGGGAGAAGAGAAGGGAGAAAAGAAGGAAGAAATGAAGGAAATGTAATTTTGCTCTCATTTATTCATGTGTACAATTTGATTACATTTTATGGGCCTATATACTCTGTGCCCTATATTGAAAGATTAATTACCTAATGTAATAGACAATTTGACACCATTCCTCAATAATTCGAAATCACAACTTTTCTAAAAAGACATTTCATTCTGATCTTAAAAACTTACTTAATTTTAAATTACCTGTGAATTACGATTTTTGGTCGCATTGTAGGTAATTAAAAATTTTGAGTTTACAAAATAGTGACGTCACTTGCTTGTAGTGCCATACAAATTCTATGGGAGTTTCTTTTGACAGTTTTAAAAAGTACGTCAATTGATTGGTGGTGTCAACATGTCTATTATGGGCTGATTTTACCATCGTCTGATAACTTTTAACTGAAGAATAAACCAAACATATTTACCAAAAGTAATCCAATGATGGTACCCTTAGTATAAGTAAAGCTGCTACATTGCGCATGTATGTTAGATTTAATAATAGTAAGTGAGTGAGTTCTGTCTTAATTTATTGTTAATTTCAATTAACGTTAAGTTTTTGATTGTATCTAGGTACAAATTATTTATTTAATAATTTGCATTTAAAAAATTAGGTATTTATTTAGATTTTATTCAGTTCCTGTGATATTAATTTATTTAATAATTTGCATTAAAAATAGGTTTTTATTTAGATTTTATTCAGTTCTTGTGATATGAAATGTCTAAGTTAATCATTAAGAAATAAATTTTTTATGAGTTTTTCCACATTAATGTGTTTATTATTTACTTTTCTTGCAAGAACCTTTGGGATTATTAATTTTAGCAAGCTTTGCTTTGCTATTACTCCTATAGTGGTAGGTATAAGCAGTAAAGCAGTTTAACATTTTTACTTACAACTTTCGCTTTACATGATGCACCATGTTAAATTAAGTGTAAATAATTATTAAACAAAGAAAATCTATTTCGCATTGAAATTACAGTAAAAAATCCAGTCTATCGTAGCTGGGGTTGCCATTAGTTGTTATACTTGTATTTTTTTTTTATGAATTTATCTTCGAAGCCCAACATCCTGGGGTGAAACACTAGATCATTCTGGGGTGGGGGCTCATTCCATTATTCCCCTTTGATGGGGATTGTCAACGGGGAATAGTGGAAATAAGCCGGGGTGGGCACGGCCCCACCCGGGTATCCCGCCTATACGAGCATAGCGAAAATACACAAAAGAAAAAAGTATGATTTGCGAAACGCGCCAAGGAGACGCAATATGCAGGGACCCGGGACGTACTTACATAATTGCTAATAGTAAACAATATTAGGATGATTTATTAATTACATTAGATGCCACTAGCTTATGTTATAGGACATACAAAATAACTAAATGTAGCTATCTTTCCGGACAGAGCTGATCGCGGGCGGCTCGTTGAAATTGAAAGCGATCGACAATCGTAAACTCGATAGCTTTCGCGTATGTCGCTATGCACCAGTTTCTCTCAGGTTATTTTAATGTTTTTGAAAAGTTTTTATTTATTTAGATCACTTTTATCCACATAAATAAGTATTATCTGTGCGTTTATGTTCTTGAGATCGTCTTGTTTTGTTGCTCTCAGGATCAATTTGGACACATTGACGTTCGACAAAACGATGGAAATACATTGTGGTCGCATTTTGCATGCAAGTTTATTGTTAGGTAGGTACGAGTAACAACTGAAGCTTAATAATATAGACAATCTGATAGGATTGATTGGAGGCGTCGTAATAAACCAATCAAAGATTCCTGTCGAATTGCTTTAAGGACCGAAACTAGCCACACCCCTGAAAGTTACTCTTCAATTAGTCAGATACTTATAGCCTTCACTTGAAATGTTAGCGTTTCAGTTAATTTTGAAATCGAACCCAATACCCACGTGCGTTACTTGTCCAACCACCAAGCCATAGCATCGTCACGTGCGCTTAATTTAGAAGCAGTACATCATGTGAGGACATTCCGGAGTTCAAAGCGACTGGACGCGTTCCGAGGAGCTTGAACTTGACTTTCCCTGCGGATGATGGCTGCTGCCCGGTTGCGGGTTCGATACGGCGAATATAAGCACGAAGTATCAGCTAAAATAGTTAGTTGCTTTGTTGATTGTTTGTTGTTTCTTGACTAAAGATTTACTTAATCATTCACCACGACTCTACTATCAAACGACTAGCTTTCGTTATTGCTAGCCTTACTGCTTGCTTACAAATTAGGTAGTGCTTAAATAATTCCTACTAAATATTCTCGTTAACCCTTCTTACAGCTAAGCTAATACTGACACATTTAGGTTCTTATATTCGCCTCTTAGGTAGATACTTTGAAAATAAAGAAATTCAGCACTTATGGTTCAGTTTAGTTGCAGAAAACATTTTTGTCGGAAGCTGGTTGGATCGTGTGAACTTACAGAATAGATTTAGAAAATTCGTCGTAGCGAGACGGCACGTGTAATCGAGACTGTCCCCTACACTGCGAGCTTATATAGGGTGCGCGGGTTAGCCCGGCGCACTCTCCTCGCGGTCGCTGCGAGAAAAGTCGGGGAAATAGTACTGTTTCATTGTGAAAGGAGATGTGACTAGGAAGTGCTTACAAGGTAAGAGATCTTAAGTAATAGGTAGTGGGTAGGCCCTACTAGTTTTTTTATTTAATTTTACTCTTATGTTATGATCTAGATCAGAATCTAGATAAGATCAGGATCTAGATTCTAGACCCTTTGTTTTAAATTCTCGAAATTAAGCTCCTGTAATTTCAGTTCTTGCTAAATCACGCACGAAACACTATCATGTAAGTATCCATCATCGGGAATCGGGACAGACCGAGAAATAATTGTCCTAATTTTCAATTGAATTTTCTTTTTTTTTTTAGATTTTTTTATTTGAATGATGGAAAGTGGCTGGCAAAGATTGTTTCCGAGAATTTAGGGTGGACTGGCGTGGTAATAATAGTAATCTCTACAATTGATTGAATAATAAATATTTAAACTCTGCAATGAACTTAACGAAAATGTTTGAAACTTTCAGATGCATTGCCTGAAGACAGCACTGTGCTTCCTAGCGCTGTTATACGGTGGCGGTGGAGTTACTAAATCACCTGGTAAGTCTATTATACTTATTTTCATACTTATTTAGCTTAGTTATCTTAAAGTAAAATCGGGGGTCCCATTATTCTGAGCTTAAAGTTTCAAAAACAGAATACCTAGGTACTTATTGTTGAAAGAAAAACAATGACTAATTATGTACCTACTCGTATACAAACTCTCGTATAACATTTTCAGCAGTCATCTCAAAAACCCTCTGTCTGTCAATCTTTATTCCTCTAATTCCAGTGTTACATAAAAGCTGCTTACTTTTTTAAACACTGAAAAATACTTAATTAAGTTTTCAGGAGCAAAGTTTGCAACTAATTGATGAATCAAAATTACGTTTATGTTAATTGATCAATTAATAATTTAATTCATCAATTAATTGCAAACTTTATTCCTGAAACATTAAGTGTCCTGAAAAGGGCCTATAATTACATATTTTCAAATTTTCCTGTGCTCTAAGGAGATCATTCTTGAAAATTCCGGATTTTTTTCCAGAATTACATACTTAAGTATCTGTAGGGTAGTAAGTAACTCAATTACACTGCCTAGAATGGATTTTATGGGTATTATTGTGTGAAAACGGGTAGGTAAGTAGGTAGGTAGGGTAATATCTATCTAACTTAATTACTTTTGAATCCAAACTTTGCACGCAGAAGAACAGGTTGCGTGTTTGTTGACAGTTCTTTCATAAAACGACGATGCACAATCTAAACCCGCGATCTAAACGAAATCGAAAGCTGCTCAAGTTTCTTATATCCTTTTAAGTTTAGAGATAAAGTGAGATAATATTAAAAGTGGTCATTTGCTTGCAATTCGCACCTCGAGACGTAATATCCATTTACTTGAAGTCATTTTAAATGTAATCATTTCACCATAATTTCTAATGACGGTATTTGAGTTGCAGTTTATTTGCGGTAAGAATCTGCGGTTTTAAATTGTTTCGTTTGATTTGCAAAGGTCAGTTTGGAAGCCTTTATCTAACAGGTGCCTGCATGGTAATAAAAGTTTGTTTACAATCAAAATCTGTAAAGTTAAAACTAGCTAGGTAATCTAGTTTTTACTTATTTAATAAAATCGCTTTCTGCAGTAGTAAGTATACTTATTTTTACAGTGTAGGCATTATTGTTGAATTGTAGAGTAAGGCGTTGAATAAATTAATATTAAGTACCTAGCATTTCTAGTGTCAACGATCATTAGCTGTCTAACTTATTAGAAATTTCTTATAATTCATTGGAAAGTCGATCGACCCGTGAGATTTTCTTGCGGACGTGTGCAAGAGGTGTTGAGAACGAAAACGTTTCCTTCCATTGACACTATCAACAAACCTCCGGGTTATGGTGTTAATCGAGAGTTTTTCGCCTTCTAAAAAAATTTGCTTTTTCACCCATTCCGTTATGTAAGCGATGTGCGTGGTAACAGCGATGTTTTACTTCCACTTGTCCGTGATATGGCGTTATTGATACTTAAAAGAAATAAAAGCTGTGAAGTGAGAGGTAAATGAGTTTCGCAAGTCATTAGTAAATTAGAAGTGTGTATACGCATGTCTTTTGTTGTAAACAATAGCATCATTGTATATTATAACAAGTAGGTTTTGTGTGGGTACATAATAGCTCTTCAGTAATAAGCTGTGAACATTCGATATAGAAATAAACAAGATGTCAATCATTCCTATCATTTTTCACCAAATAGAAGCGAGGCCTGCCTGGATAGAACCTTATCAATAACAAGCTAATATTTTTCCAGGTATTTCAGAGTTTTGGACAGACGACTACAAAGTCTTCGAGCAGATATACGGCAAGACGTCTGACAAGGATCTGTACGGGGAGCAACTCCCGCGCAGCATCTACTCGGGTGTCGACAAAACCAAGAGCCAGGCCTCGGAGAAGAAGGAGCGGTACATCGACCACGACGCTTCTGAGTTCGACAGCTACGCCTTCGGCCAACGGTACGCCCAGCTCTTCGCGAAACAGTTGGAACAGCAAGAAAAAACCACAAAACCACCGAAATCCTTCAACTTCATCAGCTTCAACGACTTCAAACCAATCAGTCAACAAAGCGATCCAGAAACGTACACCTACTTGAAACATTTAGAGAAATACAACCAAGAGCAGAAGATCAAGTTCCCTAAAGGGGTGGGCGGGTTCAAGCCTTTTTTGAGCTATAACGACCACGACCCCGAGGAAGACCAGGCTTACAAGAGTATACAGGACATTTTGGAAGCTCACGAAGCGAATAAAGGGTCTAAAAGTGTGGAGGATGAAGATGACGTTAATTACTTGACGTATGGCCCTGGGAAGGNATACTTACTTACTTTCACATAGCTATTGCCTCATTTTAAATACAGTTCATCACTTAGAACAAAAGCGCGCGGAGCAAATTACTTTATCAAATAGAACACATAAATTGTTAAAAAGCGTAATTACGTAATTTAAAAAGAACTATTACAAAATCAGATGTAAGCAGTTTATTTAAAAAGTAACATTTAATCATTTTTACAATTCAGAATTATTACGAAGTTTAAAAAATGAAAGTTCTGGTTTTGAAGATGCCGAGTTCAAGCAGCCGTATACTACGCAATACACTCGTGGCATGTTTTTTAAAAATACAGCGGATCGTGCATGCAATAAAATTATTACTAAAAACAACGCGCGCGGCACTCGCCAAAGAGGATATAATTCACTACGTGCACTCGCGACGGATGGACTGCGAGGTTCGCTTAGAGCTCGTGTAAAGCGTGCGTCTGTGTGCGTGAGTCTGATTTCGAGCGTTTGTATGAAGCTTCCGTACTGTTTGATTTATCTACTGTGCGCATGTCTTTTGTTGTAAACAATAGCATCATTGTATATTATAACAAGTAGGTTTTGTGTGGGTACATGCTAGCTCTTCAGTAATAAGCTGTGAACATTCGATATAGAAATAAACAAGATGTCAATAATTCCCATCATTTTTCGCCAATAGAAGTGAGGCCTGCCTGGATGGACGATAATTAGGTATGGCCTTATGAATAACAAGCTAATATTTTTCCAGGTATTTCAGAGTTTTGGACAGACGACTACAAAGTCTTCGAGCAGATATACGGCAAGACGTCTGACAAGGATCTGTACGGGGAGCAACTCCCGCGCAGCATCTACTCGGGCGTCGACAAAACCAAGAGCCAGGCCTCGGAGAAGAAGGAGCGATACATCGACCACGATGCTTCCGAGTTCGACAGCTACGCCTTCGGCCAACGGTACGCTCAGCTCTTCGCCAAACAGTTGAAACAACAAGAAAAGACCACAAACCCACCAAAATCCTTCAACTTCATCAGCTTCAACGACTTCAAACCAATAAGTCAACAAAGCGATCCAGAGACGTACACCTACTTGAAACATTTAGAGAAATACAACCAAGAGCAGAAGATCAAGTTCCCTAAAGGGATGGGCGGGTTCAAGCCTTATTTGAGCTATAACGACCACGACCCCGAGGAAGACCAGGCTTACAAGAGTATACAGGACATTTTGGATGCTCACGAAGCGAATAAAGGGTCTAAAAGTGTGGAGAATGAGGATGACGTTAATTACTTGACGTATGGACCTGGGAAGGNTTTTTTTTTTCTCATACATTTCAGTTGAAAATTTTAGAATGTTCTGCTAAAAGCATATTTTTTATGTTTCTAGCAAAAATTTTGTATCTTGCATCAAAGATAGGAAGGTGATTATTTTTTTCAAATATCTGCAACTAATAGGGAATCTGTCAAAAAAAAAGAAATCTGAGAAAAGTCAATCCAAAAAAAAGATAAAAAAAAATTAAGCCACTGTGGTCATGAAATTTGAAAAAATCACAAAATTAACGATAACTTCTAAACTACGAAAAATCGTAGAACATACATGGGTGTGAAATCGATAGGTCTAGTTCTCACCTATCACCTGCCTTCGGCTTGACACCTTACAAGAAACACCCTGTATACAGGGTGTTTCTAATTCTCTTCTATTGTGTGGATAAAAAATGTTCTTTTCAGATATTGTCTCTAAATGTGTTCTACATAACGTAAACTTAAGGGATTGCAAACATTACTTAGTCCTAAGAAAGTCAAAAACATGTAACGGAATCTCCAACTTGCCACTTCAGTGGAGCGATTACAGAAAATAATGGCCTGTTAAGTACATGTTTTTTTGTGTTATTATAAAAGTTCATAAAACTGCGCAGTTTTTAAANTGGGAAGGGCAGGAAGAAAGCTAATCCGAGGAAGAAACCGGGAGCAGAGTTTAATAAGCCTAGATGCTATTCTGGGAGGTGCAGGAAGAGAGCCACCAGCAGCGTCAGGGTTCGCTCCAGGCCGTACGTGAGGAAAGTCGTCCATCGACTCAGTGGCTATTAGATACGAACTAGTGGTAGTTTGTGGTAAGCCGCATATCATAGTTCGTGAATTAATTTGTTACTCAGAGTTGTTATCTAGATGATTGTTTAATTTAATAGCAATAGGGATTTTGATGTTACAATTTTAATTTATGATTTTATTTATTAGACTTTTTTAAGTTTCAGAAGTTCTTATTTATTTGATATTATTATTTTATAGGAACATGTCTATAAAATGCTTCCAGCCACTAAAATTAGGAAGAGTTTTATCCTTTGGAGCGTAAGCCGCTAAAGAGTAACTACTTAAATATTTAAGTTATTTATTAGTGTTATGAACGAAGTGTCTTAACTACAAGTAGGTAGGCCTACTTATCTTTGGTCTATTAATTAAGAGTTGTAGATATTATGTAGTATGACATACTTTGTTAACTATGTTTAGGAAATAAAATCTGAGATGAATTAAATAAAATGAAATATGGAATCAATTTAACATAATTTAATACTTATCAAAATACTTACATTAATTTATAATTAAATAACTTAATCTTTTTCAACAAAACTTTCTATTGAAAGTTTGCAAAAAGGATTTTACTGCATTTTCACTCAATATCAATAATAATTTATTTAGTCGCCAGAGCGAGAATGACTTATTTACCTGATTTGGTAAAGTATGAAATAAAATTGTCGAGTAAATAAACACTTATTTGCGTCCTCAGTGTTTAAATAATAGACAATTTTATAAATAAAAAAATAGTTCAGAATTGATAGCAAATAAAAAATATGCGATTGATAAAATACACAATGTGATTCCCCATCAACGTTATCATAACAGAAACATTGATAAAATTTTGCATAAGATTAGTGTAAAATGCTTTTAAATTATCGTAAATGATTGCGTAGTACACAATGCAATAAATAACTTTGATGACATCATGCTTGGGAAGTAGGTACAAAAGTTTCAGATATTTAAAATTTGTTAAATTCGATAATTTTTTAATTGTCCTTTTTTCAGCGGGGGTGCTCTGCGTGCACTGTAAATCAATCTAGACTTGTTCAGTATGATTGAAGATCTTTGGAAACGATAAAAAAAAATATTTTAACTTGTCCAGCAATAAGAACTGCGTTAATGTGGCAGCTTGTGGCGGCAACATACACACTGATTAGGAAAATCGTGGTCCAAGGAGACGTATTTTTCACGAAAATCGCAGGTATCCCAAATCGCATCAACACTTGGGAAATTGTTTAGGATTTGGTATGCAAAGTGGAATTCAAACAAATAAAACAAGCCTCACATATACCAGACATATCGTGCTTTAGGGCACATTGTCCACTGCCTACAACTGTAGGTCCAGACAAGTGGCCTTTGATCGAATCGAAAATTGAATCCGTTGAAAATTAATTCCTTACAAAAAAGTTTTTCGACCATCTTTCGACATAAAAACTGTCACATTTTGCAACTTGTCAAGGGGCTGTATCGTTTCCAAGTCTAGTAGATGAAGTTAGGGTTGGTCTCGCTCTGGCGACCGTTGGCTACAGGGTTGCCCAGCGCGCGGCTGCGGCGCTTATTGTCCTCGATGCTCTGCAGCAGGAAGGGCGGCGCTGACTGCCGCTGCTGGCGCAGCTCGATCTCGCGCGCCAGTGCGTCTACCAGCTGCCCACCTGTCTGACTGGAGGAATACGAGGATTAGCATTGTAGATAGCTTTCACTGCAGGATACAAGAGATTATTTGCATTGCAACAACTAGCAATTCACGAAGGCGATTGAGCTTTGAGGCTGATTTACACGTGTTATGTAGATAAGTAGGTAACTATATATATAGAAATAAATTAAATTAAATTGAATATTGTGTCAAAATCAGCTGTACGTTTAAGTTTCACATTCTGTCAAAGTCCACTTTTGCATGCCGTGGCAGCCTGTAATTAAGATAGCACCTAGTCCTAAGACAAAATTATGTATGTAAGCCCCTTTGCTTGAATTTGTGTCCGTCTTGTTGGTTGTCCTAATTAAATAAATAAATAAGTAGGTAACTAAATTATTAACTTAACTTTAAGTGATTGTGTGTTCAAAAAAATCTGCCTTTATATATGTGGTGGCTCGCTACCTAGTCCAGTCAATAAAGCATTATACAGGGTGGCAACGATAAGTGATCTCACTCGATTATTTCTAAACTATACCAGATATCGAAAAACTGGTTACTGGTCCTGAAAGTGCTTCACGAGCTCTTTTAAATGGTACCAATTACAGGTTACAGAATAAACGGGATCTATCCGAAAATCTAATGTTTTCAGCTTCCATACTAAATGTATGCCAACCACTCAATATTAGAAGTGTAATTTTTTTAAACTTAAAATGAACTCGTAAATTGCATTATTATTTCAAATAATTTATAGAAAACATTACTTTTTATAGAAATGAGTGCCATATCTGTGATAGTATTAAATGTATGGAAGATGGAAACATTGATTTTTTAGATAGATCCAGTTTATTCTGGAACTTAATAATAATACCATTGGATAGAGCTCGTGAAGCACTTTTAGGATCAGTAACCAGTTTTACGATATCTTGTATAGTTTAGAAATAATCGAGTGAGATCACTTATCGTTTCCACCCTGTAGATGGAAAACCGTGGAACACAATTTTTGACTTCGGGACTTTATTTAGACTAGTTAGGAGGTGAACATAGCAAAAGTCCCCGCCCTTAGCCCTTGAGCCGCCGGAGAGAGGGGAGTTTAAAGGTACCACTTTTCGGTTTTTCGCTTAATCCTCGGAAACTATGCGTCCTAGTGACATGACTACTATGAACCAAAAAAAGCTTATTCAATTTTCTACAGGTGAGATAGTCAAGTTTTTCTATAACTAGTTTAAATAAAGTCCCGAGGTCAGAAATTGTGTTCCATGGATTTCTCTCTACACCGTCGTTAAAGCATTCATTGACTGGACTATACGGTTCGTTTTTCAAAAGTTTTGATAAACTTTACACTTCGTTATGTGCATATTGTACACGTACACGCACAAGTAAAGCTCACTCGCCTTTGTGAGTTGCAAGCACCATACAATCTTTAGAGGGTGAAATCTTGTCAGTTCTAAAAGTCGACATTATCATCATTTCAGTCACAGGATATCCACATTCCCCGTCCTGCATGCAGCGCCTTCTTGCAACCTTTTCAGGTCATGGTAGTAATTAATCTGTTTTAATCATACCACCTTTACTTGTACGGTTTACTTATATACTCGTAAGTAGTTACCTGTTTCTTTAGGTGTTTAGAAAATTCAGAACTTTTTATTAAACCAACGTTATGCATCATCATCATATCATATTAAACATCATGTCATGTTTAATATTAACATGCTATTGATTTGAATCTATTATCTAGCTTAGGCATTTCTATTGTGAAGAGCCACTTTTGATAAAGGTTAGGTAATTAATCTAGTCACTAGTCATTTCTATTTACACAAAAAACTACCTACATGCCTAAGTAATTAATTGTTTATGCGCCATTTTTATGATTCACGATGAGTCCTTGACGATGAATGTGAATTTAATGATGTGTCATACATAGAGTTAAGATTAGTCATACGATTTAGCATCAAACAAAACCTAGTTTGTCGGAAATTTAAAAAATCCACAATGGAAAGGTGAGAGCTTTATAGGGAGAGTAGGTGTTTTTTAGGGTTGAATGGGAGCTTTGTTGGGGGGAGTGGGAGCTTTGTAGGGAGAGTGGGGACTGTGTAGGGGCCCGAAATCTTTCAGCTCGAGCTGAAAGATTTCGTTCTTTAGAGCTGGATGGGCGCTGCGTAGACTTCATCGGAACCTAATATCTCACGCCGCTGCCGCGCCGATGCCGTCAAAATTTTAAGGACGCTGGCTTTTTTTTTTTTAACTTGGCGCGCACCTCTGACTTAGACTGACAGGTAGTTTAGAGCTTTATAGGGAGAGTAGGAGTTTTTAGGGTCTTTGCAGTTCTCTGTAGCTAAAATGAAAGTCGTACCGTTCCCTTTCGCGGTCTCGCCCGGCCTCGACATCCTGGTCGCGGTCCTCTGGCGAGTACATGGAGAAGCCTCGCTTGGCCAGCTCCTCGTCAGGGGAGAGCGCAGGGTTGTGGAACGCGTGGTTGCGGTCGTTGTTCATTTTTAGCTTTCTGGAGTGAGAAAAGTACAATTAAGTAGTAGGGTTGATAATTACACTCGAATTTGGTAAACAGTTGTAGATAAGACAGCCGACTACAATGTTTATCGTCCAGAATGTTGTCTCAGACATAATGCGCTTAGATTTTGAACGATTTCGGACAACTTATCAGAGTCAAGTTTCGATTTCATAAATTTTGAGAAGAAAGATAAAATATTTAAGGTATAGAATTGGTTAAAGTGGTCAGACCACCTGGATTACTAGGGTAAGTCCAAGCTCAGTAGAAAATCTTGGTTTAGTAAATACGAGAATATAGCAAAGGTAAATGGACAAAGTCGACAATGGCATGGCACACTTGAAATATTTTTCGCCCTCATCTCTCAAAGGCTAGAAGAGAAGTGTCTTTTTTTCTTCGGAAAATTTTTTGTGCATCCAACTGGCCGATGGGGACGGTCAGTGGGACTCTCTCCGCCAGAAGGGCAGGGTCTACCCACTAAAACCCAAAGGGCCTTATTACAACAAACTTAAACCCGGGACGAACTTAGAGATCAACCAGAGTCTAACTTTTTGTAATAAGGGGGGAAGTGTCCTCCGGGGCCATTGTCCTAAAATTGGACAGTCGTCTGCGGCTGGCTCAAAAGGAAGTGTCCTAACACAAGTACTCACTGCACTCGGATTCGTCCAGTGGCCTGCATTTCTTTGACGACCCGGCGCAGGCGGCTGACCTGCACGAAGAGGATGACCACCAGCAGCAGCAGCAGAGCTGCCACGCTCCCCAGCACGCTCACTATTATTATCAAGTCTGTTTCCTGCGGGGTAGAGTCCATATTTACATTTATTTATTTATTTAAACTTTTATGCCAAAATAAATTTGTACATAAGGCGAACTTAATGCACTAAAGCATTATCGACCAGTTTACCTTTGGGTTGAGCAGAAAAGAAATTTGTTTGGCGGTACTTCTAGTGCAGGAAAGAAAAACAAAAACAAATATGCAAATTACATGTCAAAGTTATGTTAATTGGGGATTTACGAAATACTTAGGTATCTATTTAACCTAAAAAAAAAGGTCCGCTAATTTATGACTGAAAGAAAGTAGCCAATCGTTTTGCTATCGAGTTTCATACGCGAACAGTGCAAAGTTTCTGTTATTGGTACACAATCTTATACAAAATTTTGAGCAAAGTTTCACCTCGGTGGCTCATTGACCTAAACAATCGATAAGGCGTATTGATAACTAGCTAACCAGGCCCCTTATTTTCCTGTGTACCCTTGGCTGTTCAGGCGATCTTTGTACCGCCTAAAATATCTATCATCAGAAATTATGTAGGATTCTAATAGTGAAATAATTTTTCAAATTGGTCCCGTAGTTTCGGAGCCTTTATCATAGACTAGTGCAGGAAGAGAAATCTTTTGTATTATTTATTTATAATCAAAGGAATGTTTAATATGAGGATAACTTTAATGCTAAGCTTAAAAACAAACAAACGAAAATACCAAGCCAGATATGGGTAATTTCAGTATAATCTTATCTTCTCATCCCAATTTCCGATATGAGATGGCAAAAATGCGTCATACTTTGTAAGACGTGTCTTTGTATACGACACAGAGTTACCTATAGGTATTAATGTAAATTAAAAAAAATCGTTTAAAATTTACGTCGTAAAAGAGAACTTAGCAGCTTGTTTATTTTAATGTATTATGAGTTCAGTAGTAAAAGCTTGAATTTGAGTTAAATATAAATGAAAAATACAAAGACGTTCAGAATTAAAAGATCTAAGTAGGTATACCTACCTAATGACTTATCAAACGTATTTCAGTCTAGTCAAAAACCTTCGAGTTATCTCAATTGTACCAAATTCCATAGTTAACAATCACTATCAGAACATTCGGTGATGTCTTAAACTTATCCAATAGATTAAGAAGATAATCCAAAGGTTTTTCCACTTCATTTAAAAAGCACAAAATTATTTCACTCACTTTAGTCTTAAAACACACCAATTAAAATTTAATTAATTAAACTTACCATGTTTTAAGTATGTGGAGGCGTCATGGTAGTATCGTTCTTGCTCGAAGCACACGCACTACTAACACCTGTTATCAGCAGATTGATAACGTTAAGCCATCTCCTGCTATCGCTGCTATCGGCCAATTGAGTCCGGGATGCTTGGACGCGATAGCCAGGTTGTAAACACGGTTACAATAAAAATAGGTCCAGATAACTAGTATTAGGATAAGATTCAAAACTACACGTTCACAATCACAAAGCAATCACCCATCACGCACAGATCATAAAGTCTAATCTGAACAATATTGGTTTCCACTGACGCATAAAATCCAAGTTTTTAACAGCTACCTTCCGCTTCAGCGGGACAGTCCATCCCCAAAAAAAAAAAACAGCTAACTACCTTCAATATAGTTCGATTATTACCGTGAGTTTAGTGTCTGTCTGAAATAGTGGCCAAATTTTTCTTGAGTAGGCTTTATTGATCACTGGTTGCCAAATATTCGATTATACTGATGGCAAGGGGCATCCAAGTAGGTGAGCTGTCCTTCATAAGTGCCACCAGAGGTCAAAATTTCCACACTTGAGCTGTCTCCCTGAAGTACTTAGTGACCAACCTTTTCTTGAGCAGGTCATAGGTATTATTGGTATGTATTGACCATTGATTGGCAACTAAATATTCGTTTATATTGCTGTCAAGGAGGCATTCAAGTAGGAGAACTGCGATCAGAAGTTTCACTCACAGTAGCTCCCACACTTCTCAACCCCAAGTATGTAGTGTATGTAGTAACACTTTTTGGAAATTTTCCCATTTTTCCTCCTTTGATGAACCAACCATACTTCGCCAATCTATCGTATTATCCATTCATTATTTTTAAGACGGATACATTAATCCGGTAAATCATTACTCATGTGATAAGCAGTGATTTCATTATAATCATTAATGACTAGTCTTTGCCCGTGACATCATCCGCCCCTAGCTGATAATCTTGATAACAATGCGCGATGGAGCAGATACAAAACTTTTGTTTCAATAGATTTTTGTCCTATATCTTGTTAACAGAAATGCAGCATACAAAAAGGTTTACATCATCTGTCAACATCTACTACGTACATAAAACATTTTTTTTTCAATAACTTACAGTAGGAGACTATAAAACATATATTGTATTGTTGTTCTGCCACCAAAATAGTGGCCTATTATTCGTATTAGTAGGTTATTTATGTAACAGCGATTACCTACCTACTTAGGTAATCGTTGATTAAACGTTGATATTGTGGAGTGATTAAATGAATTTGAATTTGATTTATTACATTTTTACATTACATAAATCTTAAGTACTTATCAAATATCTGGTAAATTAAAATGTTTAACTTTCAGCTGTTGCGTATCCAATCCACGATGGATGGAATAAAGTTTTCATACCATATTGTCTGTGTTTTGACAATTGACATTGCAGTGAAAAACCTGTTAAAATTTTAGGTACCAAGGAGTAGGCTACCTACTATAGTGCATCGTTGATAGTCTTTCTGTCTCTAAAAAAATCTCCGTATTTGACGAATTGACGATCCATTAGCATCTATCGTAAAGACAGGATCGCAGACTTCACACGTCCATGGTAATGCAGTGCTTATTGCTATGTGACTTTGTGTGTAGGTACATAAAGATCTATCGTCGAATTTAGAAAAAAAAATGTCAATTTCATAGGTACAATCCGGTCGAGCTAACTGCGCACGTCGATGAATGTGAATCTCCCTCGTAGTCTTATGCACTCACTCTTTTCCATGCTCTGTGCACTCACTCGCACATATTAAGCATTTTAGTTAAAATTAAAATTGTTTCTAACTGTAGCGGAGAATAATGTTGTGGCAGGCCTTTGTTCAAACGATCATAGCAAATGTTGTGATAGGGTTAGAGACATGCAATTTTTGGTTTTACAAAGATAATACGATAGAGAATAATACAAAGTAATAAAAACCACCTGTTATAGGGGCATTTTATGTATTTTTTTAGTATTGCCTGTTATTTAGAATTATTACTGTTTTTATTTTATCAGGATATTCCGCTTAGTTTAAAAGTTATTACGTTTTCTTTACAATAAGTAATTGAAAGAAAAGCGTTCGCCCCATCAGTAGCAGAGCGTCGATATGACGTCACGGCTGCTAGGTGCGCAGTTAACTCAATTGGGTTGTAACTTTACTGTAGGTCACTGTAACTAAGTCAAAATATTTCTTTGAAATATTTACTCCGTAATAATCGAAAACAAATAAGTAACGACAGCTTATTACAAATAGCTTACTTTGCAATCAATATACCTACTAATGTGTGAAAATAACTAATTACAAACATAACCTTTTCACTTTTAATGAGCTCGCTATTCGTAAGACAAAAATAATGATAACTATGGCTACGACTCGTGCAAACAAAGCATCGAACCTTGAACTTTTGGCTATAATCGAGTCTGATGGATGACAAGGGCGTGAATCTAGTCTAGCTATTTATTATTTAATTTGGATTGTTTCTAGGCGGATTCTATGGCAGACAGTGTTACGTCAAAACATGAATCTGCTCAGAATATTTGAGAAGCACATTGCACACAGTTGTGGATTGCTTAAAGTACCTACCAAATCAAATCAAATCATTTATTTATTTATTATTCATTATTCATACAGACAAGGAATCAGGAACCTATGAACTCGTGTAATTAACTTCTATCAGAAGAGGGTTAGTGAATTAGTGACTAAAAGTGAGATATCCTGTTCTAATTGATCAATGAATGGAAAAGACTGGTCTCTGGTGGTTTTTTGTTTAATTTTATTTAATAAACATATATAATATATCAAAGTTAAAACAGTCACATCAGTGGCCCTTGACCCCGCTGCCCGACCTTGGCTGATGTGGCGCCGATGTGAACCACTTAAAGACTTCTGGGGATCGGTGGTAGGGTTGATCCTTGTTTAGAGAAAAATCTCTCATAGATTCGGTTTCTATTAAAGCTTCTATTCGCAGCTTTGCATGCTTAGGGAGGTATAACTGCCATGCAAATCCCTATGTCCCTAGTATACTTAGGGACGAAGGGCGTGTCGTGCGCGTCACGTTTACCTAAGTGTGTATAGCCAGAGCCCACCTAGAAAAAGGAGTTTCATTGTGACACTCGGTACGGTACCACGACAGAGCTAAAGCCCGCCTGTCTGTCCTCAGTCTATTGTAATGTACTCATAAGTGACCAGTTAAGGTAACCATTAACTTCTATAACGATTCTAGGCAACGTGCAATGAGTTATTTCTACATAATCTGCAAATAAACTTTAAACGAATTTTCATTTTCATTTTCAAAGCTTTTAGAAAGCGCTTTTACACGATCCTGTATTACCTGTTTTATACTTATGACAGAAAGATTTATTTATTTATCTATTTATTTATACTTTAATTTAACCCTATCACTGCTTCGGGATAAGAAATGGGCCAGAACTGAAAAAAGGTTGCTTTAGCAGTGATTTTGATTAGGCTCCAAAACTACTGGACCGATTTGGAAAATTCTTTTATCATTATAATTCTACATTCTTTCTTATGAACGAGCGGTACGAAATTCGCCAAGTCACGGTTTGCAGCCCTACAGAAGAATGCTGGCATTCTCATGTCATATCGGTCAACGGATTGGGGCAAAGCACGATTCGATCATGGTCCCGTCAGAACCAGAAGTACAACAAACGCTGGCTTTGTCTATTGACGAGTCGGAGCGTGCGCTGGTACTCAACTCTTAAGGTTCGGACAAACCAACGCGTGCAGCGATGGCGATGGCGATGGCGACCACTGCGCGTGCAAAAGTTGTTTCACACTGCCGCGACCGCGATGGTGATCACTGCGCGTGCAGGTTGTCACTGTCACCAAAACTGTCACGCATATTGTCACTTTCGCTTAATGTCAATCACCACGCCTTCGGCAAAATGGAAACTGAATTAAATGATTTGTTTGCAGCTTTTGATGCAATTGAGACAGTGGAAACACTTTTTCACTCAAGTTTATTCAGGCGGCCATATATTATAGAGTGAGACATGATTACCTACATGCGGTATAGGTAGTAGTTAGTAGGTATTGGTACTCTTAACCAAGCTATATTTCTGGCTTCGTTTGTAGTCCCTAGAGCCCTAACAATACCTTTTAATTAGATTTAAAGAAAGGTTTGATAGGAAGGAGGACTGCACTAAGGCTTTCTTGGCCTCAGTGGGGGGAAATGAAAACGCGGACGGTTGATATCTGGTTTATTACTGTTATGCTATTGCTATATACAATATTTACATAATGTACACAATTCAATGTGTCCAGTCCAATGTGCCGTCGGTGTAGAGTGCCTACGGTGCACGTTCGTTCAGGGTTCATGGGCCAGTCGGCTAGTCGCGGTGGATGCTGACGTGCTCGTACAGTATCCTTGTGGGCAAGTAAGATTATAACCAATTCATCTTTTTCCTTGAGGGAAAAAATTTGCCCCCATTTCCTTTTACCATTGTCGTTCTTATCGTTAAATCGCACAAAACTACACAGAACTCAACAAAACATCTATCAAAATCAATTTTCATTTTCATTTTTGGTGCAACAATCATCTTGACATTTACTTTTTTTAAGGCAAAGGAATTACATTATGCACCCAAACTACAGAGTACATAATAGTCCAAATATCCTTCTTGTTTTTAATAATAACTCAAAAATACAAAAAGACATCAGTTTTGGTCAACTAGGTATTTCTAGTGGCTCTAAATTAATGACTGAGACGTTTGATGACTCTAACTAGGTTTTTATTTATGGCATAGGTACTTAGAATTGCTCTAGGGCCTTTGAGAAAGCTGCAGACATGTACATTCTCAATTATTTTGTTCTGCAGATAATATCCCAATTTTATTTATGAAGTTGAAGAAGCAGGTTCTCGAGAAAACTAGAATAATTTGTTTGTTACATAAAAATAAATTCTGATATTGATACTTTATTCTAAAACCTTTTTTATTATTCAAGTAGGTCAGACTAGTGGTATGTTCATTTTTAATTGTGTAAAAACTTTTTAACAGATCCTACTTACTATTTATTACATCGATTTTAAAAAACAGAAACGTCACAGTGACAAAAATGTCGCGATGATCGCTGATCGCTGCGTGCAGACGCTGCATAGATCGCCGCGACCAATGACAGGACGCGTTGATGTGAACACATCGCTACAAATTCATACACACTGTCTGGTCGCCATCGCCATCGTCATCGTGCACGCCGGCTGCACGCGTTGAGGTTCGGCCAAACCAACGCGATCAACCGGCGTGCAGCGATGGCGATCAATGCATTTAGGTCTGGTC